CAAATTAGTTTTAGGTATAAATTAAGATTGTTTTTGAAAGCCGTCTTAGATTTAGTTTAAATTTTTATTTTCAGGACTGTCATTCGTTTTAGTCACATTTTAGTCATAACCATATGTTATAGTTTTAGTTTAGTTTTAGTCGACTAAATATAAAGATTTTAATCAGTTTTATGTTGCACTTTTTAAAACAGTTAACCTTTACAATTTCAAATACCAACCAGATTCTTTCCCAGACAGACAGCTCTATCCTAGATGCTACAATATCTGGGTATAGAATGCTGCCCTTCAGATCATCATTGCTGCTGGGTGGAAAATTTTGATTTATAGAATTCAAATAAACTTTTTATGAATTAATGTCCTACTTTATACAAAAGTGTCTCATAAAATCTGTGAGAATAGCAGATCTACTTCAACACATCCTATTGGTTAATATATCAGACAGACAAGCTGACCAAATGTCCAATAAAGGAATGATTTTAGACATCCAAGGTTTCCTTCCCAAAGCAAACACTTCCTGATCTACTATGAATTATGCATTTAACACAGATCTATAAAATCTAAATTACTCCGAAAAAGCAAAGAACAAAAACATTCTCACTTTGATAAGTTTGGCTTTATTTCTTCAATTTATTCATTGTTTCCTGTTGCTCAGGGGCAAAGTAGATTTAAACCTATAATTGCCTTATAAATGCATTAGAATCCGGACCTAAATTTCCAGAATACATTGAATAAAATGCTGAAATACTCAAAGGAAACTGAGAAAATGTTTCGATGACAACACAAGGAAACATTTACATCTGATTTGAATAAAAATAAACTATGAGAGAGAAATATTCAAAGATCTATGTACCTTTTCACCTGGATCTTTATCCAACAATAAACAGAATGCATTGGAATACTATCTTAATTTGGGAGAAACTAAAGAAGGTTTTGCATCACTTCTTTGTAAGCGCAGAGTACCGGACCATTCGAGGTTATTTTCACTGCCATGATCCATCTGCGGTCCTGCAGAATGTGCAGCGCTGCAAACCAGGTGCAGGATGGGGAAACATGACGCAGCAGCACAGGTGATGCTGCTTAGCAGCTTACAATGCAATGATGCATCTTTAACGTCTGACAGACCACCTGCTAACGTTTTCATCCAGTCACCGACGTCAACGAAAACTCACACCCACGAAACATCATGTTTTCATCATCAAAGATCCTTATTTATCTCATTAGTTCTTTTTATCCTCATGAAAAAAGGAGCGTAAACTGAATAATTTTGCCATCGTCATCATTGATAAAAACAACACTGGATCCAAATGGGTTTATCTGTCGAACTGATGTTTAAAAGTCTTTATACTCCAGTTAACAATCGATTTTTTTTTTTAATTGATTAGTCACGATTAATCTGATTAATTATTTCAGGCCTAATATGTGATCTGGTTCTGATAATTATTAAAACCCTTTTTTTTCCAGCTTTATTGACATTCCACTGTCACAACGAAATTCCCGCTCAGCATTTAACCCATCACCTTAGGGAGAAGCAGGCTGCCATTGTATAGAATGCTGAAATATTCTGGCTTCAGAGATTAGCATCAAGCTAGGAGCAAACCCAGCCTCTCAATCAACCGTTTATGCCTTAATTATTCCCATTCAGCCTTATGCTCCGGAAACAGTCATGCTGGGCTAAAATGGAGCAGCAACTCTACAAAGGTCCAAATAAAAACTTGGAAAAGTCTTCAGAAAGCTCAGAGAAGTGTTGATAAAGAGCAGATTATGTCAGATTAAGGTTGGGCTGCTTGGAAAGCTGAGAAAATGAAGTTTAATCCAGGACTCTGTGTGCTGTTTTCATTTGCATGCATAAGCAGTTTCTGCCTGCTTTCTGTTGAGTCTTTCCTGATGGAAACATCTGGGTCATTAACATCTGGGTGAACAACATGAATAGAAAGACCAGGCTGGGGGCAGGGTGGAAATCCACAGCAGATAAAAACAAAAAGAAGGAAAAATGGAAAGAAAAGAAATAATCTGCTCTGAGATAGTTATTTTCAAACCAATTTAGTTTTCCTGTAATTTAAAAAGACGATCAACTTATTTCTTCACAGAAAGACAAAATAATCCCTCAATTTTTTACAGGAAATTAAAATAATCTGAAAGTTAGTGTTAAATTCCTGTTTCAAATGTCCATTATGAGCACACTTTTTAATTTAAAGTTATTAATTAAATAACAGGAAGGATTTGTTGCATTTATTATTATTTTCTTTTTCCCATTATTAATGATCATTTGGAGATAAAAGTTATGCACATTTAAACCTTATTTTAAATAAGCCTGCTTCAGTAAAAATAAATAAATAGATTGAAACGTTTGTTTTCTGCTGAACCATATGGAAGAGGATTAGGGCCACTGGGAAAAAAAGAAGTTAACTGATTTTTTTATTTTATTTCAGTATAGTATGGGAAAAAAAAGTCAGAATTCTGACTTTTTTATTGTCAGAATTAAGTCAGAATTCTAAGATTAAACTCACAAATTCTGGGGAAAAAAAGTCAGAATTCTGAGATTAAACGCACAAATTCTGGAAAAAAAGTCAGAATTCTGACTTTAATCTCAGAATTCTGACTTTTTCCCCATACTAAACTGAAATTAAATTTAAAATCAGTTAACTTTTTTTCCTCTTCCGTAGAACCCTCTTTTCTTCTGTAAAATGGAAAACTTTCTCGTCATCTCGCTTGTTGATTCCAGGCTGCAGACAGTCGGAAACGGGGAGCGATCGGAAAGGGGCGTGGCTTCCATCGCCCCTCCCCCCCCCTGAATGGAAATCACCTGGAGAGCAGAGGTTTAGTTGGATGATCTGAGGAGCTGGTTTCTCCACAACTGATCCTGAAAACAAAAACCTGAACTTTTTTCTTTTTGCTTATTTTAGTTTTTTTAGGAGCAGCCGCAGATCTCAGGAATATTAACGGATTTTTATCTTTATTTAATAATTGTGTTTCAAACTGCAAGGAGTGGAAATTTGAAGCACTTGGAAGTATTTTCTCTGCCATAAAATGTGGAGGCTGCAGAAGTTCTGGTAAGTTCTGAGAGGAGATGAGCATTAAAACATGTTTTTATTTTATTTTTTATTTGTTCCCCCTAAATTATTTAATTTAAATAAACGTTCTGCTCCTTCTGTCTTTCAGGGCTCTGCTCTGTGTTCTCTGGTATCTCCAGTCTGCTGCAGCTTCTCCTCCTGCAGGTCAGTCCCCCCCCATCATGCCTCCTTTCTTACTGTGTTTAATCGGAGCGTTGATGCCGGAATGATGCATTCACGTACACCTCGTAAAGAAAGCAGATAATATTAATTAGTGTTCTTTTTCAGCAGCTTTAGATGTAAATCTGGGACCAGATACAGGTTTTGAACACAGAACAAAAACCTTCAGTAACCTGCTAACATTAACTGCTAATGTCATTAGTTTGCATGTAATAATTGTCTGGATTTCAAGGTGTAATTGAATGCATCATGGTATTAATGGTCCCTGCAACAAACTAAAACCTGTAGACCTGTTATTTTTCTGTGTTTAAACGTGAATTAGGAGGTTTTTATCCATTCACAGACAGGCTGTGGTTTAACAGGCAGTTTTGGGTCCAGGTAGCCAATAGTTTCATCTAATTAACACATCAATCAGATCCAGTAATGGGAGCTTTTTCAGGAAACAGCCGGCAGGAATGTGAGGGATGCTCACAGATGAAAAGAGACCCAACAATGTGGCCATCAGGGTTTGGTTTTTAGTTTGCATCAGTTAATCCTAAAGCTCACCCCCCCAACCTGCTTCCTCAGATTATCACAGAAGATCAGCTGGTCTTTAAGGGTTCTTCTTATTTTCTTCTGATTCCTTGGTTATTTTCTCAGACTTTATCTTTTTATATTTGATGTATTTTTTTAGACTCTGAGAAAAGCCACCTCTCTTCTTCTACAGCATCCCCACCTTCTCCTCCTCCTCCAGTTGTGCAATCCTCCCATCCCTCTCAGGAGTTTCTGGCTCAGTTTACCCAGATGAGCTCTCCAAACAGCGGGGACCGTAAACACCGGGATGCCAGCGCCGTGCTGCCCTTCATCGGCCTCACCAGCAGTAAGTTTGCTCCGACACTCAAGGAAGGAAGCAGATTCAGAAATTTACCTACAGAAAGAGACTAAATCAAACAGTTTACGCATATATATATATATATATATATATATATAATATTTTTTTGAGACTGCAGAAAAAGCAGCTGGGTTTTAATTTACAGAAGGAACAAACATTAATTCTCTGAAAGCTCAGAGGGTCTGGTTTTCTCCGGCCATCATCAGGAAAGCTTTAGTGTTTTTCTGCTATTTTCAGATGTTTGTTCAGACTCTCTGTGTTTACTGATGTGAAGCGGAGGAGTGATGCAGGAATGTACCGCCAGCTGCCGACTCTGGTTTATTTCACAGGTACAGAAGACCTTCAGCAGCTGCAAGCAGAATACTGACAAGAAAACCTCAGAACACTAATAAAAAAAAAAACACCCAGAGAGTTTATATGAGGGGTTTAATTATTTATTTACATCCAATAAAAACCCAAAGCTGTAAACAAAAATAAGGGAAGTTACAGGAGCCATAGATAGTATCTGTCAGCTAATGATGGCCTCAATCAGCGGTAACCAATTAAAATCAGCGAGGTCAAAATGTTGCAAATCATCAACCAGTAAAGGTCTGGAGACATTTTTAATTATAATCTGTTACTTTAAACAGAATTTAACACTGAAATAAAATGAGGTGTTTATGCATCCATGTTATACATTGAATTTGTAAATAGAAAAAAATAAAAGAAATAGAACAGTTTTCGATTTTAAAATCTAAAGTGTTTTTTTAAGTAGAGAACAACAATCTGTCATTTTGGTTTAAAGATCATTTCCTGATTCCCATATTTTCTCAAACAGCTGAACTGAGCGTTTGTTATTTCTCTTTCTTTTTTCTGTCTTAATGTTGGCAGTGGGCTTTAGGCTACAAAAACCATCTAGAATTAAGTAAAAAAAAACTGAAATTGAGTGTATTTACTATTAATTTTAGCAGTTAAATAAGATTATTTGCCAATGGAATGAGGATTTCTACTCCTAAAACAAGATAATTAGATAATATGCACTCGAAATAAGACAAAGCAATTGTTTTTTTTCTTATTTTAAATATAAATTGTCTTGTTCCATTGGCAAATTATCTCAGTTACCTCCTCAATTCAAGAAAAAATGCACTTAATTTAGATTTCTATTTTTTGCAGTGTAGGCTGCCCTGCAAGGCTTTAAACCTGGGTTTAACCGGAGACTAAGCCATTCTCAAGCACATATCAAGGAGCTCATTTTGAGCCTGGATCCAGATTTATTGTTGATTCTGTTCATGGTGGAGAATCCTGCTTCACAGCAGCAGGTTGAGCCAAACATCCTCTAAATGTGCAGGGTCATCTTTGAGCACGCCATTTCACTTTTCTTTCACCAGTTCACCGCAGTTCTTCCAGCAGTCCACACTTTCTCTGCTCTCTTTTTCTCATGGTCTTCTCCTTCTTTCCCATCGCCCGGCTTGCCACAGGTTTGCCTGCTGTGTCTAAAAGTAGCAGCAGCAGCAACCCAGACTGACAGCTCATTGGCTCATTTGGATCACGTGCAGCCTGGAGACGGACGCTCCCCAGGGCTTTACCGTATTAACAGGAGAAGAGGCGCAAGGGAAATTAAACACTGCCGTCGGAAAACGTGCAGTAATTTAGAAATATTTTTAATCAGGTTGGGTCCGGATCCGGACCGCGGTCCGTTAATCCGTGACCTCTGGCCTAGTGGTTAGAGCACTGCGCTTGTGAGAAGGTTGCAAGTACCCGGTTCGATCCCCACAGCTTCCATTCTGGGTCCCTGAGCGAGACCCTTCACCCCACACTGCTCCCCGAGCGCCACACAATGGCAGCCCACTGCTCCCCAACAGGATGGGTGAAATGCAGAGAGTTAATTTCTCCATTGTGAGATCAATAAAGTTCAATTTCTATTTCTAAACGGCAATAAAAAAAAAGGGATTTACTGTCAGCATTACTGTGATTCTTCATCTATTGTAATGATCGCATGTGAAGATCGTTTTCCATTGAAGGATCCAGAATATTTTCTACTTTCTGAAAGTTTTTATGGTTGACAAAATCTGTCAAAAAAATGTTTTTTACCCTAATCAATTTGAATTAAAATCAAAATGTTTGCAAGGCAGAAACGGTTTGGTTTAAAGAAATGTTTAACCTTTACCAAAACAAATTTATTTGAGTGAAATTGCAACTTATTTACTTTATTAAACTTAGATACATATTAAAAAATGCATCTACCAAAAGGAAAAAAAAATATAATAAAATCAGTTAGCTTAAGTCAAGCCAACTTTATCCTGTTATTATCTAATTTAGTATCTTCCTCTAATCTGACATATTTAGCGATCAGGTTCTATTATGTCAAATAAACCACCTTTGATTAATGTTAGCAAAGTTCAACCCTTTTCATTCTAGCTTAGTTTAATCAACAAACCTTAGACTAACTCAAAAAAGAGACATTTGTCCAACTTCAAGTGTCCTCCCCAAAGAACAGTTTTTCCCTTATTACTTCAGCATACTATTACAAAAATATGATATTTTCAGGCGCTGGACTGCAGAAGCAACAACCAAAGTTCAGAGATGAACTTTCTATTATTTAAACCACATTGAGATCTATTGAGCAGGAGCTGTTTTTCTATGTTTCAGGTGCTGAGCAGAGTCGTAACTGCTGTAAGAATGGAGGAACTTGCATCCTGGGCAGTTTCTGTGCGTGCCCCCCATTCTTCACCGGGAGAAGCTGTGAATACGACACCAGAATTAGGTAAAAACAATAACATTAAGACCTGTTATCATATGAGTGTGACCAGATTTACAATATTTGCTTCATGAACCAGTTTCCTTAGAAAAATTAGATTGTTTCTCACTTTTTTAGCTTTTTTTCTCTTGTTTGCAGACGATGTGATTTTATTCCTCATGGAGAGTGGGTCCAGAAAGGCTGCTCCTACTGCCGCTGTTTCTACGGCATCTTGCATTGCTTCCCTCACATGTTCAATAAAGATTGTGGTAAGAAGTTTTTTTCCTTCTTCTTTTTTTATACACAACAATTAGGCGTCCTTGTTTGATATAAATATCAGCTCCACACAGCAGCTATACTGAGAGCTCATTAGCAACCTTTTATTGTGGTTTTTATTCAGTTCTTTATTCCCTGCCATGTTGTTCAGGTAATCTCTGAAGGGTTTAGGAATCTCTGAGGTGTGGAGAAGCAATTAACACCCAAAGGTTACAGTAAAACTAGCTATTTGCATGTTTGAACCGAAACAAAATAAATCTTTCTGAGTGTAAATGGAGTCTTAATGACTTTGCCTCACCTTCTAATTTACAATTCAAGGCTTCAGTCTCCCCAAACAGTCCATCTGACTCCTTCTTGGAAGTGGGGCCATAAAATAGAAGCACATGTGCTGCACAGACTTGTGTATTATTTGGCTTTGCCCTTCTGATATACAGTTTGGTATATTCCTGACTGTCATAAAACAAAAAGAAACCTGAATTACTTTGCTTTAAAGAACTTTCCTAATAATTACGATTTAGGTTCTCAGAAACATTGTAGTTAATATACAGCAAAATACCAACAATATAAGATGTTGATTTTCCTTCCAAAGGGTATTAGTTGGTGAAACTGAATTGAAAACATGAATGGTGCACCTGAACCGACCCTCTACCTACGGGTCAGAGATCTAACCATTTACATCGTTACATAATACAGAACGGGTTGCAGCTAACAATTATTTTGCAAATCAATTAATCCGTCAATTATTATTATTTTTTTTTTAAATAAAAGCATAGAGGACGATCTTTTATTTCTGGGTGGATCGTCTAAATCAGTGGTCCTCCTAACTGTCAATCATTCTGGTGATATGTTTCCATAAGGCCGTCCCATGTGTTCGTCCTGTTAGCGATTTTTTTCTGCGCACTTTCAGGCGTATATCTGTGGTGAGCTACGGTTTCAGGCACTAAAGCTTATCTTTCTCACAGCGGTTCTTTGAAAATGGCCGAGGGTCGGAAGAGAAAATGTTTCTACGAAGTGTTTGAGAAGAAAAGAAAGGCCTCAGAAGAGGCAGATATATCCCAGAATGCTTTGAGGGGAGAGCTTTCCTTGCAAAGCATTATGGGATTTACTGCAACTAATAAAGATGGTTCAGGGACAGCGTGGTGGAGGAGGAGTTACACGACCAATGCAGCAAAAAGCAGTGATCATCTCTCAGAACGTGCAGTTTGCTATAAAGTCCGCTATATATTCCCAGCTGTATGTGGAAACAGCGAGCCTGTATGAGCTATGAGATCAGCACATTTTAAACAGAGTTTGCACGCAGTTGCACGCGCATTTTTATTTTTAAAGTAGAGAAGGCGGGTCTTTTAAAACTCCTCCACAATACCTTTAATGAATTAATGAATTAATGATCAGATAGCAAAAGGTTTCTTAAAGAAGACTTTTATAGATTAAATTAGGTGAAACTTTTCCACTTGAGGAGTTCTGCATAGAGCAGATTGAAAGACAAAACATTTTTATCTTAAATGCAAAATTATATATATATATACTTTCTTTTTACAACCTTGGTATAATTGTTGCTCATGTTGGGTCCCTCTGTCAGCTAAAGGCATGTTTTAGAATCTCTATACTCCAGCTAACGGTTAATCGATTTCTGAATTAGCTGAAGATTATTTCAATCATTAATTAATCAAAATGAATCCGATTGTTTCAGGCCTTTATTAATATTATTAATTATTTATATTATAATATATAAGTAATTAAATCCACAGAACCAGTGCCTTTACACTATGCTTTCAAATATCTCTACATTTTCACATAACTGTCTTTATATTTAAGATCCAGCAATTATTCATATAGGAACTTTTCATTTGTCTCAGTTACTAAATTGTTTCCTTCTACGTCTTCGTGAGCCTGCTAATGTTAGCATTGACAGGTGAGAGCAGAGATTTTTAGTTCTGGAAGAAAAATATCATCTTGGGGTAAAAATCATGATTCTTTGATTCATGAATTCTTTAAAAGAAAAAGCATTTCAAATGATTCACACGTCTTTTCTTACAGCTATAACTCCAGCTAACCTCTCCTGTGTTAATGTGTTAATGGTTATTATGGTCATCACTAGTTACCGTCCACATTAGTTATTGTATCTTTTCATTTACTGACTGGATAAAAATATCAGACTTAATGATTAAACCAAAGTGACTCCTGCATTAGCATCATTGGTAACATCCTCAAATGTTTTTAACTTTTTAAAATACCATAAAAAAAAAACAGACTAATTCACATTA